TTTTCCTCTGTTTCTTTCTCTCCCTCCCTCCCTCTTTGTTGCTCTTTCTTCCTTTCTTGCTCTTTCCTTCTTGCCCTTCCTCTCTTCCTCCCTTTCCTTCCTTGACTCACATACACACACCTTTTCTGGGAAGAACTTATTAGGCACATTCCAGAGCAGTGAGCGGCGGGACAATGAAGAAAGCAGCAGCCCCGGAACATCCATCTGCCCTCCCTTTCGAAGCACATGGCGGCGGTGGGAGCAGGGGTGGGTGGGTGTGCCTTAAAGGCAGGGAGAGATTTCTCTGCTGTGCTGGGACTGAGGGGGTAGCGGAGGCAATGGCAGGGGTGCCCCAAAAAGCAGGGAGAAAGCGAATGGAAAGCCTTTCTGTTCGCTATCTCTGCTGCGCTGGGGCTGAGCCACTGAGGGGCTGGTGGTGGTGGTAGTGGGTGGTGGTGCCCTGAAAGGCAGGGAGAGATTTCTCTGCTGTGCTGGGGCTGAGCCACTGAGGGGGCAGTGGTGGGGACGCCCCGAAAGCAGGAAGAGCTTTCTCTGGTGCACTGGGACTGAGCCGCTGAGGTGGCAGCAGTGGGTGGGGGTGCCCCAAAAGGCAGGAAGAGCTTTCTCTGCCGCACTGGGGCTGGGGCTGAGGGGGTGGCAGTGGCAGCAGGTGGGGGTGCCCTGAATGGCAGTGAGAGCTTTCTCTGCTGTGCTGGGGCTGGGCTGAGGGGGCAGTGGCAAGGGCAGTGGGGGTGCCCCGAAAGACAGGGAGAAAGCGAACAGAAAGGCTTTCCATTCACTTTCTCTGCTGCACTGGGGCTGAGGCTGGGGCTGAGGGGGCAGCGGAGGCAGTGGCAGGAGCGCCCCGAAAGGCAGCGAGAAAGCAAACGGAAAGCCTTTCCATTCACTTTCTCTGCTGTGCTGGGGCTGAGAGGGGCAGTGGAGGCGGGTGAGGGTGCCCTGAAAGGGAGGCCGGGAACACTTGGGGCTGCTTCCCTTAGCCACGCTGCAGCCACTGCTGTCCCCCCCACCCTCTGGACTGGCCCAAAAAAGACGCCCCACCTTGGCCTCCCACCCGGAAAGTCCCGGGCATTGGGGGAGAGACCTGGAAAGGCCCTGGGCAGTGGGAGGGGGGGAGGCCTGGAAAGGCCCCAGTGGGTGGGCAAGGGCCTAGTGTAATGCAGGCTTACCTGTGAGCAGGGCAGGCAGATCAGGGCTGCTCAGTTGGGGTGCAGGCACCACGTGGGGAAGTCAGGTTAGGCAAGCCATGAAGGGCCCAGTGTGCCACATAGGAAGGGAAGAGTGACTGGGCGGGGCAAGTGGCGGACAGACGAGCTGCGTGAGCGAGCGAGCATCAGGTGGGTGGGGCAAGTGAGCGACTAGGGACTGGGGAATTGGTTCAGGGGCATGGCCAGCCAGTTCCATGAGCCATGCCAAATTCTTGCTACCGGGTTACCAGAACTACTGCGAACCGGCTGAATACCACCTCTGAATTGCCCCCCATCTTCACCTGAATCTTCAATAAATCACTAAAGATGTACTATGTTCCTTTCTGCTTCAAACACTCTACTATCATCCCAGTGCCAAAGAAGCCCTCCATCAAGGAACTGAATGACCAGACCAGTTGCTCTAACTTCTGTAGTTATGAAAACCTTTGAAAGGCTAGTTCTGTCCCACCTGAAAACCATCATGGATCTGCTATTAGATCCCCTGCAATTTGCATTTTGAGCAAATCAAACAGATGATGTTGTTAATATGGCTCTGCACTACATCATTATTACCATCATTCCAGATGTTGTTCTAACTAAACTAAACCAGGTAGTGGTACCTGAACACACTTGTAAGTCGATAAGCTTCCTAACAGACAGGAAGCAGCAAGTGAAGCTAGGCAGAATCACATCTGATATCTGTAAAATTAGCACACACACACACACACACCAAGGTTGTGTGCTTTCTCTATTTCTCCCTATATACCAAAGGTCTAAACGATCCATTTGTTAAAATACTGATGTTTGCAGATGATACAACAATGATTGGTCTCATTTGAGACAACAATGAATCCGTATACAGATGGGAGATTATACAACTTGCCTCGTGGTGTGACTGGAACAATCTGGAACTGAACACACTCAAAACCGTAATAATGGTGGTAGACTTTAGGAGAATCCTACCATACTAGCACCTTTTACAATACTAGACAACACAGTATCAACAGTAGAGACCTTCAAATTTTTAGGTTCTATCATAACTCAAGACATAAAATGGACATCTAACCAAAAACGTCATCAAAAAAGCACAATAAAGAAAGTTCTTTCTGCACCAACTCAGAAAGCTGAAACTGCCCAAGGAGCTGTTGATACAGTTCTACAGAGGAATTATTGAGTCTGTCATCTGCACCTCTATAACTGTCTGGTTCGGTTCTACAACCCAACAAGACAGACACAGACACAGACTTCAGAGAATTAGGACTACAGAAAAAACAATTATAACCTGTATAAACATCAAGGACCTGTATATTGCATGAGTAAAAAAGAGGGCTGTGAAAATATTTATAGACCCCTCACATCCTGGACATAAATTGTTTCAACTCCTACCCTTAAAACAATGCAATAGAGCACTACACACCAGAACTAGACATAAGAACAGTTTTTTCCCAAATGCCATCACTTTGCTAAACAAATAATTCCTTCGACACTGTCAAACTATTTACTAAGTCTGCATTACTATTACTATTAATCTTTCCATCCTTCCCTTCACCCATCTCTTCCCACTTATGACTGACTGTAACTTTGTTGCTTGTATCCTTACGATTTTGTTGACTGTTTCCTAGTATGATTTGATTGCTTATTGTACCCTATTACTATATTCTATATACTATATACCCTTATGTGTTCTGACCAAGGCTTCCTGAGACAGTAACAATCACACGCTGTTCCCAAAAACCTTTTGTTTTATTTCAATGGCTGTGAATTATATTACAGCCTATAATGAGTCCCAAACAGTTTATGAATAGTCCAACAGAAGTCTGCCAGTCTTTCGGGATAAGGCTGATAAGCACCCACCTTTATCTCCCTTGAAATGCTGCCAATGACTAAATTGCCAATTAGCTGTAAAAGGCCAAACATGGAGCTTCAGAGTTTAAACCAACCAGGAAGAACAAAGTTGCTTTCTGAAAAGGCTCATGTCACTTTGCTCCTCTTTTGTTTTATGGGAGGAGCCAATCATCTCCAAGCCTTACTCTCGAGTCGTCCCTTTTGTCTTAACTGTTCTTGCCTTCTGGCAGCTCTGTGCAAGTGCACACTGGGAACAGGCTCCCCGTTCCTCTGCCTCGCTGTCAGATTCTGGAAGTTCCGGAGTCAGCACAATTGGCCCTAGCCTCATCTCTGTCGGATGCAGGTCCTTGTCTGAGCCCTCCCCAGACTCCAGAACTGGCCCATGTTCCTCCCCACTGTCTGACTCTGCTGCCAGCTATGCAGGCCACCGGTGGACCACAACACTATGACTACATAACCCTATAACTATTATTAAGTGTTCTATCCTATGATTTTTGACGAATGTATCTTTTCTTTTATATACACTGAGAGCATATGCACCAGGACAAATTCCTTGTGTGCCCAATCACACTAGGCCAATAAAGAATTCTATTCTTTAAAGAATTCTATTCTATTCTATTATTGAACTTTTTAGAAAAATGAAAAGGGAAACAAAGTTATTTGGGTTGTGTATAAAATGAAAAGCACTGTGCCTTGAATGGAAAGCAAATCCTTGCATTCTCAAAATTTTTCTGAAGTGTTCAGGTCTCGTTATTTTTTTTTAAGGAAATCTGGAACATCTTTTAGAATCAAGGATCTCATGGGATAAGTTCACTGTTCATAAGACTTTTTGGGCTTTCAAGGTTGCTTTCTTCTTCTGTGCAATCATGTCTGATTCTTGGACTTAAATAGGACCTTGCAATTTTCTTGGCAAGGTTTTTCAGAAGTGGTTTGCCATTGCTTACTTTCTAGGGATGAGAGAAAGTGAGTGGCCCAAGGTTATCCAGTTGGATTTATGTATAAGGCAGCACTAGAACTCATAGTCTCCTGGATCTAACCTGATGCCTTAACCATTACACCAAACTGGCCCTCAGTGGGATATGCAGGTCAAATCTAATGTATGTAACTACATTCCTATAGCAGTTCCCATGCAGTATATCATATCTATCTGCCCCACTTTTTCCCTTTCTTCCTCTCACTCTTCCAGATGGCATGAATCAAAATTATGGAATTCCACAATAAATTAGGTTGGGTTTTGTTCAACAAATTCTACTTATATGTATTTTAACTGCAAACTATACTTGTGAGCTTTGGATTGGTAAGCTTATCCTCTTAAGAGTCTAAACCAGCAACCATTGTAATGATCCTTTTCACATTCAAATTCACATCTGATATTTGTTTAGAACTCGATGATAATCATGAATATATTCACCTGAGAAACACTTGAGAGTCTGATTAGTAAAGGAGAAAATTCTTTTTGTTGAGTAGTGGCTTGTAACTGGAAAATTAACATCCTCCTGAGGAAAAATTAAAGCGATAATGTTTTGTCTAGTTTTAAAGGAGGAAGAGAAGGTTTTGCCAGATATTTAGAGATGAACTTTTTTTTAACAGATAAAAGTACTTTTTAAACTTGTTTTCATGAAAGTCTGTGCATGGGAAAAAGTGATGAGAATTCTAGCACTTTATGTTTAACTTGTAGCACAATGCAATGAAATATCTTTCTGTAGAATTGTGTTTTAAATTTCAGTATTATTAAATATGACTTTTTAGTTAATACTGTAAAATATCTACTTCATTAATCTTATTTAAGCCAATATGACTTTAAAATTTTTAGATTCAACTGCAATTTCCAATTTACAAAGCAGTGAGCTTTATCAAAATGTAGTGATTTACACACATTTGTACTACTGAACCTCAAAAGATTTGATATTTATTGATTAATCATTATCACACCCATGTTTCTCTTATTTTCTATAACAATTCCACAAATGCTGAAAATATCATTTATTGTGCAGAAATAAAGATATTTTTTCCAGTAATCATTAACAATATTTCCATTGGAATTAATACATAGGGAAATAATAAACAGTGAAATATATTTCAACAGCATGGAGCAATATAATGAGGAATACAGTATTTTTCAAATAAAATGGCAATAGTATGGAAAGTAGCATTGGATTATTGTTTTCATAGCTGGTCATGCAAATTTGTCCAATGGGTTCTTTTAAAAGAAAACAATGATAACATTACAAAATCTTTTGCAGGATTGAGTTGGCCACATCCAGAGAATCATCTTTCACCAAAACAATATCATAGGACTCCATATATTTTTCCAGCAGTTCTTCAACCTAGATTTTAAAATGTGAAGAAAAAAATTATGTGAAAAACCAAACTGACATTCTTTATATATTTCTTCAGTATATTTTTTTCTATTTCTATTTCTCTCTTTTCCTATTTTCTTTTCTGTACTTTCTACTCTCACTTTTTATTCTTTTCAGTTTGTATTTTTACTATTGTATCTTCAATAAAATTAAATAAAATGAAATGGGCAAGCACAGATGCAAGACGTTTGCTGAAGAAAATTTCAGAACCATTCATATATAAATTAGATTGAGCTTAAGTTAAGCAATCACATCATTTTGTTGTTTGTCAATTGTAACAATATAAATATACTTCTATTAGTTTAGATGATTAAAATCTAAAGCCACAAATTAAAGAGCAATGAAATTATTTGTAGTTTATTTTTTCTTTCGTTTTAAATGAAACGTTGTGTAGTTTCAGCCCAAATTTAGAAATAATTTTATTTTGTCTAATTTAAAGAAAGGGAGTTGAATTAAAAGATCTTTCCACATTTTCATTTGTGCATTACATTTGAACAAAATAGCTGTGTTTAGGGAGAAAATACAGATGTTTTTAAACTATAGAGCTTTTTAAAAGGTTTTTTTTTTCACATTTTAAAAGTTGTGGAAAGATCTTTTAATTTCATATATATAATTGAACTCCCTTTCTTTAAATTAGACAAAAAAACAGAGCTTGATTTCTTTTCCTTCTCACAAGACTTTTTAATAAACTTTTGTCACTCTTGTTTTGTTTACATATGTCTTAACTCTTAAAATATCCGGTGGTTTCTTTTATACTGTTACATCTTTTTTCATATTGTTCCTGTAGCCTGTCATACTATAATTGTAATAATGTAACAGTTTATAATGGTAAATCGAGCTTTTGTCTTCTCCTTTAACTGTAATCTTTAGTTCTGTCTAGTATCCAATTTTTAAAATCTTACTTTAAAAAAAAATCATAACTAGTATTATGATAATATTATAAAATCAGTATTATTGTAATACTAATGCAGTATCAGAAGTTTCAGTTCAATTGTATAGAATGTGAAAGATGTATGTTTTTGTTTTATTTTTATAGTTTTCTTATGTATGATGTACACTGAAGATAGCATTTAATTTTGTTCGAGGTACAATGACAATAAACTAAACTAAACTAAATCAAATCAAAAGCTTTTTCCCACATTGAAGATTCTTTATAATCTTATTTCAATTTTATATCTTACTGTTTGTAATTTTTTAAAATCAAAGTTTTATTCATCCTTTTGTTTATTCCATTTTTTAAAGTTCTTTAAACGTGATTTTTTTTCATTAAGGATTGAAGGAAAATTCACCAAGATTCAAAGATTTCTAATTGCTAAAAAGAACTTAAGAAGTAATTTCCAAAAGTAATTAGAACAATATGTGAATTTAGTGTCCTTCCAAAGATGCTGACTGCTATTTGGGCAAAATGGCTATTTCCTCATTTCCTCAAGCTCTAGATATGCTGGAGGGCTATTTCCTTGCAGTCTCCTCAGGAAGAACAGCTGCTTGAAGCATTTGTGACTGATCTTCCAGAAAGGATCAAAGAGCCAGCCTCGGGAAGAAGGCATGACATGGCCTGCAGCTGCCTGTAGGATCAAGTTGGATGTACCTCATCAGCATTAGAAGATAGTGTTCAACTGAGTATGGCAGACTCTGTAGAGCATAGGAAGGTGGGGGCAACAGGGATTTATGCTATGATACTGGGATGGTTAATCACAGGGTGGGGCTTGAGGCAATATATCCTAGCAGCAGTGATAGTGTGACTGAAATAGAGGCCTGTGGCTGGTGGCAATTGGCTGAGATTGTTGAACACTCAGGCCTCTATTTCAGCCCTAGACCTGACATGTTGCTGAGGAGTGCCACAGTGCAGGGCAGCCAAAAAGACATAGGTGAGAAGAGTTAAAGCACTCCTGTAATCATAAGTGTGGGTGGATTTCCAAGCATTCAAATTTTGACCATGTGGTTATGGGGACACTGCAACAACTAACTAGGAACCAATCATAAGTCCATTTTTTCAGCACCATTTACAACTTCAAGTGGTTGCTAAATGATCATATGTCAAGAATTACGTTTATTTAAAATTCAGCTTAATTGTTCAAGGCCTCCTACATAAATATTACCTGCTGCTGGCAAAATAAGGATTTGGAAGTTGTCTGAATACCCTGTGAAGATGGCATTATTTTAATTACTTACTAAATTTGAAAATAGACTCATCCAACTAAGCTGCAATTGGATTTAGTATATTTTAGCTATATTTTTTCAACAAAACATGCATGACAATCAACATGACAACTTTTTACACACTTACTTTATCATTCAGATATCCAATCTTAAGAATATGTTCAACATTTGCCACTCCATCTGCCATTGTTAAGTCTCCTTGAGAATCTCCAAGTAATATGATATTGCTGTTGTCTTTTAATTGTTTAAAGTACTCTGTATTTTTCAATGCCCCATCATGTTTGTTGTAAACATGAATTAATTCTCCTTTAAATCCTTTCAATATGCCCTATTGAAGATGACAGAAATTATTCCTAAGTAACCAGGCAAAAACAGTAATAACATATATACTTTTAGAATATTTCCAAGACAATTTTCTCTTTCCACCAACTCTAAACATATTTTCATTATATATATATATATATAATACTGAGAATAAAATACTTCTATTGAAGCCTAGATAATGGCTATCTTATTTATTTTTATATATATTTCAGATTGCCAAAAATTCTGTGTAACTAATAATCAGAAATATCACTGAGCAACCCTCCTCTCCTATGTCTAATATATTTAAACATAAAATAAATCAACATTATATTTATTAAAAAAATAAAAATGTGACCCTTTAAAATTCATATCTTCAGTTACATGTCTTTTTCCTGCACTTGATGGAATAAATGGGTCTTAACTAATCCCCTAAAAGCCAAAAAGGAAGGAGCAGACTAGATTTCCATGAGGAAATAATTTCAGAGTATGAAATCAGTGAGCAAAAATAAACATTTTGAAAACCCATCAGATAGATAGGATCTTCAATAAATTGATTACATAATTCAATCTGATTGGACAGGCAGATAATGTTAGAAGAAGGTCCTTGAAATAACTTGGAATCATGTATATCTTTAAAATTACAACATCATTTTATCTTATTGAGAAGCAAACTGGAAATAAATGTAATTGCCAAAGCAATGAGGTCACCTGAGGATGTAAGGATATATATTCTAGGGAATCATGGAGATAACCTAGGAGAAGGGAATCCAAATGATATTAGGGAAACACCAGATAAAACACACACTAAACATGTTTGAAATTTAGTGTAACAAATAGCTTCTCCCTCCTCTACAACTCCCTGGGATATAAGAAGAAGGGTCTTCTTATAGTCCAAGGGTGAGGTCAAATGCATCATCAGTTTGGAGTCACAACGCTTCTACAAGAGAACTAAGTCCAGTCCCCTTGAATTCCATTGATTTTTATCTAGGCTCACTTTTCCTTGACTGTTAATAGACCAGATTTTTGTGTATAGGTTGCATGTAACAAATCCGAAGTCCTTTGAACTAAACTCCTCTTCCTGGTTATTTGTGCCTGACAGAAAGGAAGGAAGTCCAAGCAGACTTGCAAAATTTTGTTGTTTTATAGTTCTGGTGGTCATATGGAGTCTGTTCCTTGATCTGGAAGAGCTGACATATATCCATTAATGAGAAAGCCCCCAGATTTTGTATCAGCTGTAGCTTCAAAGGCAATCACATGTAGAACACTTTGCAGTAATCCAGATGGGAGGTAAGAAAAAGGCATGGATACATCAGAGTTAGTTTGGTCTAGTGATTAAGGCACCAAACTAAAAAGTGGGAGATCATGAGTTTAATCATGAAAGCCAGCTAGGTATCCTTGCAACAGTAACTCTCTTTCAGCCCAACCCACCTCAACAGGGTTGTGGTTGTGGTGAAAATAGGAAGAGAAAGGTGGATTGGATATGTTTGCCTTGACAAGATGTTACAAATAACACCCTGAGTTGTTTGTAAAAATAATAAAGGTGGGATATAATAAATAAATAAATGTAAGCAGAGCCTCCCAAGTCAAGAATGGCTGCAATTGGATAGAAAAATATATAACTATATAAAAACCCTCTAAACTACAGTTTTTATATGCTAAACAAGTAGGAGCTGTGTATCCAGGTTACCTCCATATGGCAAACCACATTTGAATAGGAGAGTTCAACTTGGTTTTTAAGAAGACATTAAAACTGAGTGAGAGTAGAGAGTCCCAAGACATTCCACAAAGTAGAGATTTCTGAGAAGATAACTCTCCCTATCCAGACTGGAACTACCACCTCAGAAAGAACCACTACACTATATTTCCCAATCGACAGAGTGGTTAAGAAGAAAAACAGTATTTACTGTGTCAAAAACTTCTAAGAGATTAAGGAGAGTTTTAGTTCCCCTCAACCTGATTTTAACAAATTTGCAAACTAATTAATATATTCTAAGAATACTGACTCTATCCTTTTTCTTTCTTTTCTCAAAATTTTTTCCCTCTCTTCCTCTTCTCTCTTCTTTCTTTTTCTTTCTTTTGCTTATTTGTGTATGTATTGTGACTGGTTTTAATTGTAAAAATTAATAAACTATATTTATATATATAAAAAAAGAATACTGACCCTATCAAGTGAAGCATATAATTATAACTCTAAATTGGAAATATGTATGTAACATTTTTATATGTTTTGAAAGATTCTTATATACCTTAGTAAATGATAATGTAATCTACAATTGCACTTTGTATTTGACATTTTCATACTCACATTATCATCAAAATCCATAAAGTTGGAAACTACTTTGACATTGGAATGGTAGACACCTGCTTGGTGAATAATCTGTTCCAGGATGTCTCCAATCCCAGCAGAAAATATAAATACTGGGACATTGTGTTCATGAAGTTTGTCAAAAAAAAATTCATACCCCTCTCTGTAAAACAGGATAGTTATTTGTAAAAAATTGAATTAAAATCTGACAGTAATTTTTTTTCTGAAATAAGTATTGAATAACTCCTATTCTCAGTTTCAGAATAAACAAGATAGTAGTAACTGGCATCTTATTAGTTATGAAGCCAAGGATTCAATATTTTAAGAGTATTTTATTTTTAAAAGAAATGACCTGTGGATTATTTTGGAAACCAGTTGAAAAATTTGCTTTGTTTGATCATTCTAGTCTGATTTCTGTTTGTACAGATACTCATTTTTATTTTGCTATATAAGTGACTCAAGGGAAAAAAACCCTGTCTTTGAAAAGGGTGAAACAGAAATCCCAGAAATCCAGAATGGATCTTCTGCACCTTTCTTATAGAAATAAGATAAAATAGAGAAAGAAAAAAACAAAACCTTTCTTGTGCAATATCTGCTTTCCTATTCCTTGGATCTGAGTACATGCAATAATAGTGCAACACTTAGAAAGAACATAGACTAGTGTCTAAACTTCTGGACCTTAGATTTTCTTATTCAATCTGCCTTGGAATTATGGATTTCCTGTCTGGCTGCTCACAGAGGGTCAGATTAGGTAATCATACCTCTTCAGCCACTGGTACACCGCGTGTTGAGTCCCTTACTCTATACTCTTTATGTGCATGACTGCATTCCCGCTCATGCTAAGTAATACTATTACTAAATTTGCTGATGATACAACAGTGGTGGGACTCATCTCCGGGGGGGATGAGTCTGTCTACAGAGATGAGTTGGACCGGTTGCTTTGTGGTGTGGAGACAATAACTTGATCCTCAACACCAATAAGATCAAGGAGCTTATAGTGGACTATAGAAGGAACAGATCAGACATCCAGCCCTTGCTTATCAATGGAGACCGAGTGGAGCAAGTGGCCAGTTGTAAGTTTCTGGGTGTTATCATAAAAGATGTCCTGACCTGGGGTGCTCACATTGCAGCACTGGTCAAAAGGGCCCAGCAGAGATTATACTACCCGAGACTTCTCAGAAAACAACAACTGAATGAAAAACTGCTAGTGACCTTCTACCACTGCACCATAGAGAGTATCTTAACTTACTGCACCTGTATATGGTTTGCCAATTGCACAGTGGCAAGCACTCCAGAAGGTTAACATCATTGCCCAGAAGATCATTAGTTGCCCTCTCCCCTCTTTGGAAGACCTTTATAGCTCTCACTGCCTTAAGAAACTTCAAAACATTCTCAAAGATCCATCTTATCCTGGGCACCCTTCTTTTTTGAGCTATTACCTTCTGGCAGACAGTACAGAATAATAAAAACAAGGACAAATAGGCTGAAAAACAGCTTTATCCTAGGGCAGTAACTCTACTGAATTCTACTGTATAGTGCAATATTAATGCAATATCAGGGGTTTTCAATTCAATGTATAGAATGTGAAGGATGTGTGTTTGTGTTTATTTTTCATAGTCATAATATACACTGAAGATGGTATTTAATTTCGTTGTATGAGGTATAATGACAATAAAGTAAACTAAACTAAACTAAACATGGCTACAGTCTTGTTGAAGTAGGGTAAAAAGCAGATAATCAAATTCTTGAATGCCCCAATGAAGGGGGGAACATTTCCAATTTTTAAAAGATGCAGTACTACTATTAGATCAGTAATGGTTTGTAAGGATTAGACTTTCAGATGATTGCCATACAAGTGAAAAATAAACTTTGAAGAAATAGAATCTTCTATATTACATAACTGTAAAAAGTGAATAACAAGTAAAAAGTGGTTAATTCTCATAAAGCATTATTTTCAAATATAGCCAAATCCTCATTTATCATTACATAACAAACCAACAATGCAACATTGTGATATGGAACATTTTTAGTGTGCTGACATAGTAAGAAGCTCAATATGTGCTATACAAGAATTACAGTGGGAAAGGCAATTAAATTGAAGCACTTTTCTCATCACCATTAAGTACCACTAAGAGTAAGTCCACAGTGAAGAATAAATGAACATATAACATTTCATACAATTTTTTATTTCTGATGTTTTATGATTACAGAAATAGATGCTTACTTCAGCATAACATCAGACTCTCTCACAATTTCAGCAAGTTTTTCCTTCTGTAATCCTTGTTCAATAAGCAATGCATGGGATTTGTTGTACCTACAATTAAAAATAAAACATTAAAAAGTTTATTTTCTTATAGGCAGAATATTTCTTCTGGGTGTGTGCATGTGCACCTTTGAATCAGTCTTGACTCCTGGTGACCACCTGGATTAGTCTCTGTCATTTTCAGAAGCAGCCTGCCATTGCTTTTTTTCGAAGGCTGAAAGAGAGTGACTGGCCGAAGGTCATTTAACTGGTTTTATGTCTTAAAATAAAGCTATAACTCATGCCTTCCCAATTTCTAATCTAGTTCCTTAACTACTATATCAAACTGGGTCTTCCTTGGGGCTTTCTGTCCATAAGAAAAATAATATAAATAGACTTCTGAATCAGCCACTCTTTGATATGTGTTTGACAATCTTTATATCTGGTGCAACAATGACAGTTTAAGATAAAGCAATCTAATGGAGAAGCAAAAAATAGAGACAAAAATGATTAGCATTAATCATTAATCCGAAAGGCAAGGACAATAATTGAAGAAAGCCTGATCTCTGGAAGATATTCTACCATTGGATATACTGTCTAGGGCTGATGAGATCTAAGGTTGAAATAAATGGAGGGAAATTTATTCTATCATTATATTTGGAAGGCGGTTTTACTTCTCAAAAACTGTACCTTATATGTTTATTTTTCCTAAATACTGTACTGTATGTGTAAAATTATGTTGGATGGCATTATACATTTTCAATGGATATCAGAGGACACCAATGAAACTGTTACTTAAAGAATGCTAGAAAGAGTAAGAGGCAATAACTTAAAGCAATAATTTGTCAAGTTTCTTGACAAATTTATTTTAGGTGCACAAATGGTGGACTTAAAATAGGTCATGTATTTTATCAAGACACAATAAGTGGGTGCTCTTATCAACAACTGTTTAATTATTCAGTTGCAAACTTTAACCTTTTAACAGTAAACAAATCACTTTTCACAAACTCACCACTCAACCATATATGGATACTTCTCTTCCACTGTAAGACTAGGATCAATTTCAATAGCATAATATATTTCTTTTAGCTGGAATAACTAGAAAGAAAAACAATTAGTTGCTATTTATCTCTGCAATATCCCTTTTTTATTCTAACTGCGTAAACTAAACATAAAGAAGAGGGAGTCAAGTTATTTTCCAAAGCACCTAAGGGCAGGACAAGAAGCAATGAGTGGAAACTAATTAAAGAGAGAAACAATCTAGAATTAAGGAGACATTTCCTGACAGAATAATTAATCAGTGGAGCAACTTGCCTCCAGAAGTTGTGAATGCTCCAACACTGAAAGTTTTTAAGAAGAGATTGGACAACCACAGCGAAATACTGTGGACATAATATACTTTAACTTCAGCAAAGCATTCGACAAAGTAGACCACTTCTTGTAAAGCTAGAAAAAAGTGGGATAGATAGCATCACCACCAGATGGATTTGCAACTGGCTGACAAACCGCATTGAACGAGTAGTCCTTAATGGGTCTACGTCTACAGGAAATAAGCAGTGGAGTGCCGCAAGGTTCCATCTTAGGCCCTGTACTCTTCAATATATTCATAAATTACTGGAGAGGGCGGAGCTGGCATCGCGACGATACGGCATGCGATCTTGGAGGTCTGAGATCGCTGCCGATATCTTTGCTCCTGGACAGTCCTATCGGATATAAACCGCCCCGAAGAGACGGTGAAAGTGAAGAGCGCATCCTGTCGATCCCAGGGATAATGCAAAGTCCCTGGTAGATCCGGGAGAAGCTCTTCTTGCCAGCGGCAAAGAGGCAGCCATTAAAGCTGCTGAAGTTGGGACAGCTCCGAAACGGAAGAGAACAGAAAGAGAGAGTGTGCCGGTTTGGTGAGAACTTTTTTTTATTCTAAGATCTGAAAGGACTCCCTAAGGAAAAGAAAGAATCTGTAAAAGTTTTGACAGAAGTGATTAAGTGGCGATTTTAAACAGGAATGTCAAAATAATGTTTGTTTGTTTTTTCTCATTGCTGGACCTTCTATATATGATCTTGTATTTTGAAACTGGACTGGATTTTTCATTTATATCTATTTTTTTCTTCTCCTTTTCGATTTTGTGATATTTTAGGCTAGAGGCTTCCTTTAGTTATTTCATTTTTCTTAAATATCTTTTTCTTTTTTTTATTAATTCTTATTATATCCTGCTCGGAAAAGGAGGGGGAAAGTGAGAGCAAAGAAACTTTGTAACACTGCCAACTAGAGACTTGAAAATATTCTATTTCCCTGTGACCAGACAAAGCTGAGAAAGAAAGAACTGAGACTCTTTTTCAAGGACATTGCTATTTGATAAGATAGAGGGAAGAGCATGGGAGAGTATTATTGCAGGTGCTCTTCTGGGTTTCTATCAACAGCTGGAGTCTGGTGTTGAAACTTAGGGGGAAAAAGGTGATAAGTTTTTGGAGAAGAGAGCTATAATAAGAGCCTTGGATAATTAAACAAAGTGCAGTGTGCCCTTTTTACTTTTTCTAAGTTGTGCTATCCCTCCTCACCAGCTTTATTGTATTTCTTTTTATTCATTCATTTATTTATTTTTTTGTAATAACTATATGGGTTTTTGGCTTTGTTGGAGCTTGTCTTTGTTTTTCTTTTTTTCTTTGGAAGTCCAATTTCTACATTTGCTTTTTATTTTAAAGGGAAAGCCTTAAAAGCCTTTTTCCCCCCTTTCCTGGTATTTTTGTTTTTTCATATACCTTTCTGGTTAATTCTTATGTACTTTTTTCTATTTGAGACCTTTCAATTGGATTAAGGTGTTGAAGAACCTGAAGAATTTTTCCTTTTCCTTTCCCCCCCCTTTTCTTCTTAAGCCTTTTTCTTCATCTAACTATTGATTGGATTAAGGTATACAAGAACCTGAAAAAGTTTTGTCCTCCCTTCTTTTTTCTTTTCTTATTATTGGGCTTCTTTTTTCTACTATTTTTATCTTGAACTATAATTGGTTACTTCACAATTGGATTAAGGTTTAGAAGAACCTGAAGATTTTGACTTGCTTAAAATGAGTAGGAAATTTACAGCTCCTGGTTCTTCAACTTCTACTTCTTCCTCTCCACCATCTGGAGGACAACGTTCAATACAGACAATGTTAAAGCAAGAAAAAGAACAAGAAAAAGTGACTCTGCAGATGATTATGCAAGGAATTCAAAATATTCAAGCAAGATCAGAGAATATTGAAAAGAGAATAGAGAACATTGAACAAAGAACAGGGAAAACCGATGAAAAAGTGGAGAATATCCAACAAATGATGTTGAAGTATGATGAGAGATTCCAAAAAACTGAAGAAGATAAACAAAGAGACAAGAAGATTGGAGATATTCATAATAGATTAACGGTGGTTGAACAAGATAAAAGTGGTATGTTGAGATGGGAGATGGATAGATCAGAATTCTATCTTAGATTTCAAAATGTAGAGGAAGAAAAAGGACAAAACCTAGCTGAGATAATGATAGAAATACTGGCTGAAGCTTTGGAAATAACTCAAGAGAAGATGATGGATGGAATAGACGAGGTCTATTGAGTTTTCACATATTTCTCATATGCGATGAGAAATAGCCCACCAAGAGAAGCTCACATTAGATTTACAAAGAAAGCCATTAAAACGCAAATATTGCAAGTGGCAAGAGAGAAAACATTGAAATACAAAGACAAGAAGATTGTGGTCTTGAAACAAATACCCAGAAGAGTGAAAGAGATGAGAAGAGAATACCGATTCCTGACTAAAATGCTATTTGAATTATAGATGGCTGATTCCAGAAGGTTTAATGTTCACATGGCAAGAACAGAGACATAGAATTGACTCAATTGAGAAAGCGGAATTATTTTATACAGAATTTTTTGGAGGGAAAAAGGAAGAGGCAGAAAAAGAGATCTCACTAATTGAATTCCAAGAGGACTGCCAAATGGCGACTGAAAAAGAAGAAGGTGCAGTAGGTGGAAAGGTGGAAGCCAAAGAACAACGTGAACTAAGATCTACGAGAGCTGCTAAACCTAATTATAAAATATAACCATAGAAGAGAAAAAATTGATTACAATTAATATAAATGGACTTAACTCAGCCGTTAAAAGAAGGAAAACCTTTCATAAATTAGAGAAATTAAAATTTGATATAATTTGTCTACAAGAAGTACATATTAAAAAACAATATGAATGATTGTTGGTACAGCCAAAATTAGGGAAAATATTTACTTCCTTGACACAATGTAAGAAAAGAGGAGTGGTTTTATATATTAAAGAGACCACCCTAGCAAAATTGATCTATACCGATGATGATGGAAGAATACTAATGGTGGAAATAATGAACAATAATATGAAAACACTCCTGATTGCAATTTATGCTCCGAATGAC